GTTCTGACTGGTCACTGAGTGTATATATATGTCTGTGTGTATATACTGACAATATTTATGAATGTAGGCATATATATATATATGTATGTATGTATGTATGTATGCCATTTCTGCTCCTGTCTGCATCCCATACAAACTCACAGTGTCTTCTCCTGGCCACTGTATATGGAGATGGTGAACATGTTGTGTGTCCTGAAGTCCATTTATCTGTCGCTGACRTATTTTTTCATTTTATGTGTAGTTTATCTTGCAGCGTTTATCGTATCACTTCAGCACAGTCCCGGTGGCTGCAGGGAATCGAGTCTGCACAGCATTAATGTAAACAACATGAATGCACAAGCAGAAGAAGAAAAGAAGCATTTATTCCGCTCGTTATATAAACAGAAAACTAACGTTTGGATTCATTAAATGTGTCTGGAGTGAGATCTGATAACACGGATTTGTTCAGTCATTACATTATCAAAAATGGGTGAGTTTATCTCCAATGTTGCCTTGCCTCAATGTTCCTGTGATATCTTTTGGGTGTTTTGTTGATATCGTTCATAATCACAAGATAAGGAGAGTTTCACATTTTCTAATATCATTCTTGCTTTCATTTTTGCAGTTTCTATTTTAGATGTACTAGTTAGTGATTTTCTCTCATTCTGAAGTATCTATCAGCTGTGCCCTTGTTTCTTTTCTCAGAACTTCATTTCCCAGCTTGAGTTGGTAAATCCCATTCAATTTATGGAACTGGAATCATTAACCTGGGTAGATCAGGAACCAGCCAGCTKTATTCCCAGCATCATGCTGCTTTTTGTTGTATTATATGCTTAAATGAAAAAGCAGTAGGAGGAGGAAGAGTTCTCTGACTATCTGCTGCATCTGAGTCTATGTACACTCTTGGGTGCGTCTCCATGAGCCAACATGAGTCTGTCTTTGTAAATAAAAGTCATGGCCAACCAGAGTGAAGCACAAAGGCCTCCCCGCAGACCGCTGCGGCCTCCACTACCCTTAAACATGTGCATTTCTCCACATTTCCCGGGAAAGAGCTGCATTTTATGAATGGTAATGAAGGTGGGAGTTTTACTGGAGAGTGCACAAGAGATGGCCTTACAATTACTTTGGGATGGTTGATTTGCACATTTCACAGTGGCTCCCATGGCTGTGATATGAAAATGAAGAAAATGGACTGGACTAACATGAACAATTAATAATTGCATTTAAAAAACTACAAAAATGTACATTTTTAAAGCAAAAATAATGCAGGAAAAGATGAATTTGTCCTTCTCTCTTTCTGAAAGTGTATGCTCTGCAGATATATATTATGTGTATTTATGCAGCGTGTTGTGACAGAAGCCCAGAGGTTTATCTCAAGGTGGATGGAAAGCTTTTACTAAATTCATTTTAGTTGCCTTCAAGTAGGCACGCATGTGTTGGTGAATGGGTGTGTATATGCTTTGCTTCAGCAGGGAAGAAGAAGAAAGTTTGTGAGCTGATTACTTTTCCTGTGGAATATTCTGAGTCAACTGTGGCCCCTGAAGCATCTCAAAGGCCCAAAGGGGGGGACACAGGCAGGGAGTGGTGGGATAGACTCACTGTCTGAACTCATCAAAGTGCTGAAGAGCTGCTGTATGCACATGGTGCCATGCCCTGAGGGGGTAGATGTTCTGATGAAGGGGTTGGAAGGTGAAAGCTAAATAATGCGCATGTGGCTACATGCTAACAGTACTGAAAGGCTATGGCTGAAATAGCAGGCTGTTAAAAAGAAGGAGAGCTGAGATTCAGGCTAGTGTGTGATTGTCTTCAATGGCAATCTCCACTCGTGACATCATGCATACATTATCCGCTGCTCTCTTGAATGACCGGACAATCGGCATGAATTATACAGAGATTCAATGGTAATATCAGAAAAATACATTTTTAAAGCCAGTTTCGAAACATCCAACCTCCAAAAATTAAGGAACGTTCAGTTGAAAGGTTGGCCGGGGGATCCAGGTCTTCGACAGACTTGGAAAGTAAACGGATTAGTTAAAAAGGTTGATGCTTTTTTTCCGGTGTCTTCTAGCTTAGCATGCCACATCTAGCATGTGTGTGTTTTTATCACTTGAGCAACTGCTTCTGCATCATTCAAAGAAACTTAAAGGTGATATTTAAAATTTGTGTAAGTAGCAATATTAACATGTGTGATTGATGGCAATAGGATATTATATGAGGCTAGCATGGATGCTACGGGTGAAGCTGTCATTAGGCTGCAGTAAAAAAAATAGGAGGTTTATTGTACCTGTTTATGGACAGAAAGAGCAGAAATCTTGTGTCAGTCTTTTACCTCTGATGAAATGTTGGTAGGTAAAGTTGCACTTTTTTTCAGTCAAATTGGACTTTTCCTGTCACTGGAATCCAGCTGTTAGCTAGCATCTTAGCTTGTGAAAAGTGACAAAAAATACTCCTTCCATGTAGGGATAATGGCTGTGCTGAGCCATTTTTACAAGAACTGTAGCAGAATGTTTTGAAGTCCTCCAGGTGAAATTTGATGCCATTTTCTTGAGTTTCTTTAAGTTTAAACACAGTTAAACYGCCCACTGTGATTAAAACCAAGGGAGCTGCTACGCACACAGATGTTGAACAGMCCTAGTCACATAATTTATGTTCTAAAAATAGCCTGAGTGGAGATCACCATTCATGAAAAACAGTCCCAAAAGAATATCTTTTTGAGGTCAGTAAACATTCAACAACTGGAAACAAGAGGGAGGCTCAAATAAATCTTATGTGAATAAATTTCAGTTCTGAATCTGTAAAATATGAATGAACAGGTGTGTAAGCAAATAATCATTCTTGATTATGTAACCTCTTTTTTTCACTTTTATATCCAGCAGGTTTGAATTAAGTTTTACTTGTTCTCACTTTTAATGTGGGGTTTCACCAAACTGAAATAACAAAATTAATCTAGCATAAATGAATGGATGTTGATTCTTTGTGCATTAATCCTGCTGTGCAGTAACAAGTATGCACAAATGGACACAGTATAAATATATTGTCTTGTCAGTTTTAACTTAGATCCTTAAAATGTTATTGTCTGACAATAAAAATATCAACAGGCATTGAGCTTTACAGCAGCTTTTAATCATACTGTATGTGATAAATGACATAACATGCAGTAATATGGTCTAATGTACTTTGATTCTTCACAAGCTTTAAATCTGCTCTTATCTGTCTCTCTCAACTCACCGCATGTGCGTACGAGCTGTAGGTGCTGAAAGGAAGGGCGATGGCTGGATTAAAGATGCCAAACTGGCCCACCATCTGCTGCATACGTCTGATGGTGCGCTCCTTGTCTGTGTCTGCAAACTTCACCACCAAGCTCGAAGAAGCACCCTGTGACAAGGAGGGAAAAAAATCAGCAAAAAAAGGCAAAAAAAAAAAGTGAGTTTACTGTGAATCTCTAAAGCAATATGTGTGTGATCGTCATGATTAATTACATTTTTATAGACAACTGGAAGCAAAAGCTTTAAAAWGTCACATAAAACACATCAGGAATTTTGTTTGATTTTTTTATTTCTTAGTTTGACATGTTTTTTAGGAGTGACAGTTAAAATCGTCGTCTAGTCATCTGCTCTAATTTCTTGACTTTTTAACTTTTTTGTTCTGTCACAGACAGTTTATAGTGGTTTTTGATTTTGAGCTTTTTGATGGTTTTATTTTGATGTTATGTATGTATGTCTGTGCAGTCATTGTGCTGTTGCTGTGTTTTGAACATGTTTTTGACTTCTTCCCTAAACTCATCAACAACACCTAAATGGCTCCTTTTCCTGAATTTGACTTCTGTACTGTCATTCTCTCAGAGGAGGATGGACTGGACATTTAGAAGAAGGGGAGGGGCCTGAAGATATCATATACTATATCAGGCAACATATTGCCAAAGTACACATGTCTGCAAGGATTGATGTTCGTAATAGGCAGAAGCTAACCAATGAAAAACTAATATATATATTAGGGGTGCAACAATACATGTACCCRTATCGAATGGTGCTGTGTGGAACAATACAGATTTTAAAAATTTACTTTATCAACTTGTCTTCTGAAGATGCTCTGTGTTAAAGGATCGACTACTCCACCTAGGCTGCATATTCGAGCGCAGATCCACTGAGAAACTTGCTGTTTCAGCAACATTTAATTTAAAAACTGTACTTTTGAGGTTAAACAAATGTTCAGAATTAATATAAATAAATTACAAGTTAAAAGGGACATGGAAATTTCTCTTTTTTGTATCGAAAACATATCGAACCGTGAGACTAAAGTATCGAACCGAACCATGAATTTCCTGTATCGTTGCACCCCTAATGTATATATAATTCTATGCAGAAATCGAGCCATGAGAAATTGTTTACATCGTATCACGTGACCTGGGCGTGCTTCGCAAGGGGGATTTTTATGCATTGAGCTCATGCTAACACTAACCATTGAAATCAATGCGCAGAATATGCAGAATATTTACAAACAATCACGCAATTAATGTACAAATGTCACAAATACTTTGCTATAAACTGCAGAAATAGTGACAACAAGTTTACAAGAGCAAAAGGGAAAATGTTTCACTGGTAAACATTACACATATGAAGTGTAAAACTTAATAAATAAATAGAAACAAAATTTTGCAACTAGATCTCCAGACTTTGTTTGTGTGACGAGAAAGATGAATCTAATTCATGTAAGAAAGCAGCTCGAGGCTGTGAAACTTTTGCTGATTTTTTTATTTTTATTTTGAACGTGAAGCAGAAACAATACAACATTTAGTCACAGCTCAAAGTTGAAGTAAATATATTAGAAAACAAAGAGGACTTGAACTATATTTTTCATGGTCTTCTATTTTTTATTCTTGTCTTCCTTACTGTGCCTCTGGTTATGAATTCATTAGCAATTTTCACCCTTCATTAAGGATCTTCAGATGATTGAGTGCTGCCGTTGACCTTTTGTAAGCTCCACCTATTTTCTGTTCTCTGCACCCCAAACCGGCCAATTGATCCACATAAAAGGCCATAATATTACTCTGTTTTGACAGTTTAGAAAGGTTGTGTGTCAAACATGATAAGAAGCTCCATGAAACTGATGCAAGTTTGACAATACCAGCAGTGACTGATGATATAGTGGAATTAGGGGGTGGGTGTTGGTGAGAAACTAAGATGGACCACAGATGGGCTGTTTTAAACTGCATCAACGACAACAGGCTTTTGTTTTTAATGTATACTGCTTCATTGTGAGACATGAAAGCTTGTTTTAAATATCTCAGCAATACACATTAAAAAGTACATTTATATGAACACTGTGTCATTCTCTATTCTAATCTTTAAAGTCTACCATGAAGAGCTCAGTGCGCAGAGACTGCCCGACACCCCACCACACCCAGCCCCCATCACTGGCTTTTGATAGGATACCTGGATCTTATGGCTTGTTGGCTAAGCATCCATTGTCCCATTTGTTTATTTCTGAGGTTTTCCCATTTCAGTGAGTGGAACCTCCATTGCTATAAGGAGAGCAGGATRAAGTGCGATGTGAAAGTCTCATTAAACTTTTAAGCCGCCCAAGTGTGAGCAGAATCCCCCTGCCAGGCAGCTCCCAGCTGCCGCGGGGGCCACTGAGGGAAGAGGAGTTCAACAGGGAGAAGAAAAAGACATGGTGGGGGTTTTAACTAAAAGTAACGTCTGCCTACTTATGGCTCCACCTGATTGTCGATAATAAGTGTTTTCTGGTGAGAACCAGAAAAAAACATAGCGATTTTTAAGACCATCATTCAACATGTATTTCAATTTCTATTACATTTTTAGAACAACCAAACAAAGAAAAAAATTGAAAGAACGTCCGAAGAAGCTCCTTTAGTTGAAATAACCCTTGTTTTTTAGCCTTCTGAAATATTCAACCATTTTCAAACAAATGTAGTTCATTGCAAAAATATACTCCAGACTTACATATACTTTTAAATGTTAAAATTATATTTTGACTTTTTTTGTCTCTATGCAGTGAGTTTTATATAACGTTATTCTTTGGTGGTTTCACATTTGTGCTGAAAACCATTAACCTGTTTAAAGGGATCCCTGATTAGTTGTAACATTAGACTTTATAAACATATATTTTATCTGTAAAATAAAAACTGTAAAAATACTGTAGGATGTTCAGTTTTTATAGTTTTTAAACTAAAAGTTTAAAAGTATATTACACAGACGGGGCCATTTCATTTACACACAAAGCATTCTGGGTAAATGATGGATGTGGATAGGTCGGTGTGAGGCAACTAGAGAGCTATATCCACTCTGAAGGTTAATCTTGGACAATATCTGATGATCGACTCTTTTAAATGAAACCAGAGAGCGTTGACAGAGAGGAGAAGGTAGAAATGACTCAGYCTGTAACTGAAAATATGGATGGAGGACAACAGAGCTGCTTCATGGAAGAAGAACTTCAGCTTAGCCTGTTAGCTTTAGCATTAGCCCCGACGCTATCACCATAAATATGTATTAGCTCAGCGCTACACATTCTCCTCTCGTCACTGAGGTCCTCCATCCACATGACAGAGAGGGGAATGCAAAAATGACTCAGCCTGCTACTGAAAATATGGATGGAGGACCTCAGTTTAGCTTGTTAGTTTGCCACGTTAGCTAATACATATAAGGCAAAGGCTAACAGGCTAAGCTGAGGTTCTTCTTCCATGAAGCAGCTCTGTTGTCCTCCATCCATATTTTCAGTTACAGGCTGAGTCATTTCTACCTTCTCCTCTCTGTCAACGCTCTCTGGTTTCATTTAAAAGAGTCGATCATCAGATATTGTCCAAGATTAACCTTCAGGGTGGATATAGCTCACTAGCAGCCTCACTGCGAGGACCTATCCACRTCATCATTTACCCAGAATGCTTTGCATGTAAATAAAATGGCTCCGTCCGTGTTAAAATATTTTTTTAAAATTTACAAAACTGAACATCCTACGGTATTTTTAGTCTTTATTTTACAGTTAACATAAACATTTATCAAATAAAGTCTAATGTTACAACAAATCAGGGATCTCTTTAAAAGGTCCAGCTTTGGTTAAACTTTTGAGCCGYGTCTCATCTTCAAACATTTTTTTTGGTTCAACACTGAATTCTTAATTGAATCATATGAGCTGGTTTGTACTGAAGACAGCAAAACTATTCAAAACCTCACATTTCCAGCATCACGAGTCACATATATGAAGCTCTCTTTAACTTTGCTAACACATCGGCTTTTACAGTTATCAAACAGATTGAATAAATGTCATAGAAATAAAAAAAGAAGTTTATAACAAAGTATGTAGCCTGTACTAAAATACACAAAGAGCAACAGTAGTGCGCACTGGTGAGAATCTGGACTAATAAACTGCACTAACACTTAAAGTTGCTTTAAGCTTTCGCTGGTTTACACTTTCACAAGACACGAGACAGCAGATCAGAGATTATGTCATTTCAGCGGTCTTTTTYT